TAAGTGGTTACATTTTTTAAATAATATTGTATATATCAAATAAACTGATTAAAACGTGCTTTAAATGTCGATATAATAACCTTCAATGAAAATATTTTTAAATTTACAATCTCATTTTAAAAAAGTTACAAATTTTATATACTTCTGTGTTTATATTTAAGTAAAACTAATTATACCTTTAACAAATTAATTATCTATTTAATGGTATTTTAAAGCGTTTTCAATATTTGCCAATATTCTTTATTGATAAATACACACTTTTTTAAATAAAAAACGCAAATTTTTTAATATATCTTATTATAGTATGTGAAATTGCCTATGTTTAATACCTAAATTTCTATTTAATAATATAAATTATAGTTTATAATATGAAATAAATTCTATTTTATTTAATAAAAATAATTTACATGATAAATCTTATATATTAAAGATATTTGAAATTAAAACAGTCATTTTTCTAATAAATTTATAGGTATTTAAGATTTGTCATATTTAAAACTTTTTGGATAATCTTTCCTTGATTTTTAGTTCGAAATTAATACTATGATTACAATATCTATGAATAAAATGTTTTAATATCATAATTGTTGTTTACAATATTATTAAACTAAACATTTTATTTTTTAAATCCCGTCGAAAAACTATAAAAATAAAAAATTTTAATAAACTTACCAAAATTAAAATGTTGTATTTTTTATTTTAAAAATATTTTTAATAATAAAATATTAGTAATGACATTTAATTATTTTTTAATTATAAAAGAATTTAATAAATAGATATAAACATTACCGATACCAGTATTTAATGTATAAATAAATTTATTTAATTTATCTCTACTGCTTATCTTATCGTCGCTCATCGTCTATATAATCATCATTATTGCTACTCCTATCTCTCTTATAATCTTTATCGCTTCTATATTTAAAATCTTTCATAAACTGTAATTTATTTACTTCAATTTCCTTTTATAAGATTTTCTGAAACAATGACACCATTTGTTTCAGATTGTAACAAGATGTTAAAAATAGACAGGGCATCTTCAATTGCTTTTATATTTTGTTGTTTCTCTTCTTCATCTTCTTTGGTCTATACAAATTTTTCTTCATTCTTCTTAGTTTAATTATTTAAATTATCTGTTAAATCACTCATTTTCTATACAATTTTTCTAAACCAATTTGCTAATCCTAAAAAACTTCTTAATACCCTTTTATTTCGAGGTGGGGATGTTTTAACTTTTAAAATCTTTTCTTTATCTGCTTATATTTATTCTTTTTTAATAATATTACCTAAAAACAATAGATTTTCTTTTCCGAATAAACCTTTTCTATCTCTTTTATCCTGTATTTATTTTAATACTTCCTCAACATATTATATATGTTTATCATAATTTTCACTGTAGACAAAGACGTCGTCTACATATATTTTACAATAAGTTAGATCTCATAAAACTTCTTTCATTACTTTCAGAAATGATCTTGGATTATTCATCATTCCCGTGTGTAATCTTTTACATTCGTAGTGTCTAATAGGTAGGACAAAACCAGTCTTGTGTTGATCCCCGTCTTCAATTTTTATCTAGTAAAATCCTTGATCTAGATAGATTTGACTGAACCAACAACTTCTTCTCAATCTAACAAACTGATCTACCAAATCAAGAAAAGGGTATGTTTTCTTTATTATCTTTTTTTTTAATTTTATAAAATTTGTTACCAATCTTAGACGTTCATTCTTTTTCTATATTACAAAAGAAAGTGTTGAGTATTCTGATTTATTTTTCTTAATAACTCTAAATCTTTCAAATCCATTAATTTCATTCCTCAATACCGGTATATAAAGAATATGGAATTTTATAATATTTTAATTAAATTGGTTCATCATCATTAAGACTAATTCTATGACTATATTCGGTATTGTTTCGATTAGCGCCCCAAAAAAGTTTTCCGGCCCATGATCTGATTAGCGCCCTAAATTATATATATATAAATTCTAATAAAAATTTTAAATGAATAACCCTTATGATTTATGAAAGATTGCTGCAGATTTTGAGA